GTTAGCTGCTTCTATTTAAACCAGGTAAAACGGATGCTGATGTTCTCGGTAAGGATGTGGCTATGCACAAGTGCAAATGTGCACACAAACCTGCTGACATAGAAAAATGTTTTTTTTTTCTTTCTTTCTGATTTCTAATACAAGGCAGGAGTGATAAAAGTCACATGTAACAGAACAGTGAAAGTCAGTGGGTTATTTCAGCTGAAACTGCGCTGCCTCTGGTTTGATCAAATGTCTTGCAAGCGCTCTGTAAGTTGATTAATTGTGGCCCTCTCATTTCCTGGAGAGGTCTGGTGGTGAACAGTATGCGCTTTCGTACGAAGAAGCCGAGAGAAAGTGAGGCGAAAGCAGACAGCGGTGGTTTGAAGAAGCCACTGCAGCAAAGCCTCGGCAGACCACTTATTTTTCAGACGTCCGCTTTGAGATAGCAAAGACCACCACAATGAGGCAGATCGATACTACTGATAAGCATTTCCTGGCTGTTGCGTAATTTCAGTAATATGGTTACCCGTGGTACAACTGCGCAGCAATATTCCCTTTCCATGAGGAGTGAAACGATGGCAATGTGACATCCCCGACCGCACAACAAGCAACACGACAGGTCCATTTGAAACCAGATGGAGCGCTTGATATCTTTAAACTGCATTTTCTGAATTACTTCCTCGTGTAGCTGCATATAGAATAACACATTAATATACTTATTACAAAGGCATCCATGTGACTCTGGATATTAATTTGGGCAAGTATCACAGATGATCATGATCGTAACCTGACATTATCACTTAACTTCTCCACAGTTTTGGTGGAGAAAAAAAAAAAAGGTTGAAGTTTTAGTTAATCCACGACCTTGTTCCTCATTCCAGGGAGATCGTCACTGCTGATATTTCCTGAAGTCTGCCTGCGTAATTTTCCGTGAAAGCCTTTTAGAGGTGGCGCTGCTATAGATAGGTCTGGACATAGCACAGTTCACACGTTCTCGAACACGACTCTAATGAATCTAAAGGCCAGATTGATTCTTGAACCCGGAGGAAATAAAAACGTCATCCAACGCATATCTGTTCTTTTAATTGCATCAAAACGCATGTGCACATAAGCTGTGCTTAATCTCCAGTCCTACGAGGACGTGAGTTGTTGTGTACGAACCTGGTCATCGACTCAGTTGTTTTTATGTCCCCTGGCAGCGTACACGCGTCGTTCCACCTGACTTTTCACTGCTTTTAATACCCACGATAACACAGATGACTAATTTTGCTGCAGGGCAAAAAAGGTGATTGAAAAACACTAAAGCTAGCAGCTGTGTGTGTGTGTGTGTGTGTGTGTGTGTGTGTGTGTGTGTGAGAAAGCGAGGGAGAGATATAGAGTGTGACTCTAAAGATATGAATCGTTAAAACTTAATCCTGGTGGAAGAAAAAGCCAGAGGCAGCGGCTGCCTGAATAATAATCACATCATGTGGGTTTTGTGAATGACAAACCTGGCATTTAAACGTGGGAGCACAACAATGATGGAGCTCATTTAGAATAACGAGCAGCGAAGATGATGTTTCAAACGTGAAATGTTAAAATTAGAGCAGCAACAATATGCAATTAAGAGATTTTTGTAGTGGAAAAAGATTTTAAAAAAAGCAACTTTCCTTGTGCTGCTAATTGAACGCGTCCCACTGAGCTGGCATTACACAACAACTTCTGCATGTTAAAGTAATTAATTCTGCATCGTGGCCAGCAGACTAGACATAGTTTATGCAATCAATTGGTTAAATGGAGAGCTTGGATTACTTCCATCCCAAGAACCCAATGTTCAGTGAAAGCTTTCTGGCATATTTACACATGATGATGATGTGTCAGTGTTTTCTGAATCAACCACCTGATTACTTTATCGCAGTGCAGCCAAATGTCTCTGAAACCCGACTGGCTGCCATCCTGAACGTGATTTTTAAGGCTCTATAGACAGCAGACGCTTCCAATATTTTTGTATTGATGTTTTAAATATCATTTACTTAGAAAGTGCTGTGAGTTAGACTTTAATTGCTGTGTGGCTACATTATACAATCACTGATTGCAGATTACAGAAAAAAAAAACGTGTTATCTTGGCTCGTCGTGTGATTTCAGCACAACATACGTGAACAATAGCCCACATACTGCCGCACTATCACACGTTGGTATGAGCGCGCTGCAAATGCAACAGGTGTCGTGTTGAAAACGTGTCACATCCTTTGACTGCAAGTGACAACAAACATATTTTTTCGTGAACACGTAAAAAAAAAAAAAACAGTGAAGGATTCATTGTACTGAGACTTCTCCATCTTTTACAAAACCCATGATCTTTGTAACAACCTATATATCCTCACCAGACATGTCAGAGAATATATAGACAACTCTTCTTTGTTTAATATTTTGTGTCCGATATGTTTTTTACCATAAAAAAATTGCAATTAACTGGTTGAAAGTTTTTTTTTTTCAAATGCTTCATTGAGAAGTCTAGAAACTGTGAACATGCAAATCCATCCATCATCTATACACCACGTAATCCTCACTAGGGTCACGGGGGGGCTGGAGTCTATCCCAGCTGACTCAGGGTGAAGGCAGGTTCACCTGGACAGGTAACCAGTCTATCACAGGGCTACACTTAGAGACAGACAACCAAGCACACTAACATTCACACCTACAGACAATTTAGAATCAACAATTAACCTCAGCATGTTTTTGGACTGTGGGAGGAAGCCGGAGAACCCGGAGAGAACCCACGCTGCACGGGGAGAACATGCAAACTCCACGCAGAAAACCAGCGACCTTCTCACTGCAAGGCAACGGCACCGAGCCACCTTGCAGCCCGAACATGCAAATTATTTAGTATTTAAAAGGTTTAACTGCTACAAGATGTATCCTACATCACTTACAGCTACTGTATGATCAGTTAGGCTTGTCACAATTCTGAAATAATCCTCTATATCGCAACTATTTGAGCTGACTGCAAACATTTTGCATAATCGTTAGAACAGTTTCCATTCACCTGCATAAGAACGGCTGGCTGAAACTAACAGAAATGTCATGTTTGAATCACTGTTTCCTCCATTTGCACTTGTGCTTTGCAAGATCTTTTTGCTGAGGTGTTTAACTTCCAATGTTCGACTGACAGCATTTTGATGAGCATTTATTGAAATTAACATCCTGGATTTATTCGTGGAGCCAAACACCACCGCGCTGCTGTGAGCACACTTTGGTTTTAAGCCAAATTAAAAAGGAATAGGAAGGAACAATAAAGCGGAGGAGGCGATTTGTTGGATTTGCTGCTAATAGGTGTCGTTCAAAGGCAATAATACCACTACTGTAAAACTAATAAATGTATAAAATGAACAATGAAATCACGAGTTATTTCTAGGTCAATGAATGGTTAGTTAAATTTAATGATCAGTACAGCCCTATAAACAATACAGGCCTTAAGTTAAAACATCACACCTGCGAATGTTGCATGTTGGACGAAGATTTCAAAAATTTCAGGTGAGCGCATAGAAACTTTGATTTTTAAGAGAAGTAACAACATCAAAAACTCATTCATGTGGGCAGGATTTTGATGCATGAGGAAGTGAAATGTGGGACTTTTCAAATTAAGGAAAAACAGAGCAGACACTGCGTCACTGAGATCGCCTTTCCGCCCCCTTTGTTGTGCTTGAGCGAACTGATGCTACACACCATTTTGATTTCACAATTTTCAGACTTCAGTGCTCCGAGGGGAACAGGGAGATGACAGCGTGGATAGGTCTGCGTTTGGTGAAAGAAAAAAAACAAACAAACAACAACTATATTAACCCCTATAAAAGTCACACAGATCTGTTCCCACGCCGAGGCAGTAAATGTTCAGTGTCAGTGTATAGTGCCTGTGTGCGTCTCAGACACAGGCTAAAGATTAAATGTGACGGTCCAGCTGTTGGTTATCCCACGGGTTTTCTGTATTTAAGCTGAGAAGTAGATTATCTCCTCGGCACACGTCAGCAGCAGCCATCACCGTGTAGAGGCCCACTCATACACACATACACCTGCATCATCAATCAAACGCTCCTGTATGCGCAAACCAGTTATTTCATTCCTATTTTTATAAAAAGGTTTCGTTGATTACACTTGTAGTTTGTACATTTATCTATTTAGCGCCTTTAAAAGCAATAAAAATCCATAAAAAGCTATAAAAAAAAGAACAACACATAAAACCAAGTCTATTAAATTGGGTTGAAGAGGTGATTTAAAATAATCCATTGATTCTACAAGCCTTATCTCTTCAGCCAGGTTATTAAAAAGCTGAAGGACCCTAATGACACATTGAGATTTTGGCCTGGACGTGGAACAGCCACCTCACCTGAGGATCTAGGGCCACGGGCTGGCTCATATTCATGTAGCTTGGGTCCTGACCCGGATCGAAAGTGAGCAGTAAGATCTTAAAATCAATTATAAAGAGCCAAATATATTATTAAATCCAAAAAGTTGCTTCATTTCCCAGGAAAACTGAGTTGGATCTTGTGGCTGCTAGTATCTCTGAGCCTTTTTCTCTTATATATATACTAATTAATCACAATAAATTTGACTTATTTCTGTAAATTTGGGAAAGGTTGATATAATATTATCAAATGAAACCGTCACCACACAATGAAATGGATTGAGCCAGTTGACAAGGAAGGGAATTTGCTTTTTTTCTCTCTCTCTCTCTCACCATTGTCTTTTCTTTTCCTGGTCCTCTCACCTACACTCACTTGTTCAACCTGTCCAAAAACAGCCACCTGAACTCATGGGATGATCCATGCTAGCAAAAAACAACAAAACTGACACCACAAACAACAGCAATAAAGAACAAATAAAACGTGTTGTTTCTGCCTGACACCAGCTCGTCGGTGACAGATGCTGCAGTACCTGACGAGACACGGTCCCGGGATAGTTGAAGATAAGCTCACACGACCTAGGACAACTGGCTAGACGGCTTCCTGCTCGGTGTTTGTGTGCGGTGTCGTGTGTTTACCTGGGAGGCTAACGCTGACGGGGACAACGCAGAGCAGGACCGCGGCGAGCAGCAGCGGCGAGGCCCGGTGCTGGCGTCCGTTCCGCGGGCTGGAGAGCGGCAGCAGCATCCTTCGGTCTTCTCGGGGACGGAGAACCGCAAGACGGGGACGGGTGTTGTTGTCATTCCCCCATCGCCTTTCGTCGTGTTTTGTGTACGTTTTTGTTTTTATTTAAAGCAATAGAAAGGAAGCTTCAGCGCAAGGTGAGACACAGCAGCGATCCGAGCAGGTAGCACCGGGTCCGTCCACACACTGCGCACCGTAATCCGTGGCGGTGCTAAAGATAGCGGAGCTTCAGGCAGGGGAGGGGGGTGGGGATGTGTTTGACATGCCGCCTTCAGGGCCTCCTCGTAAAACCACAGCTAAAGACACAGACTTCTCCTGGCAGACTTGTCATTTCTACGTTATTTAGCTTCTTTTTGTTATCACTATTCTAATTATGCAAACAGTCAGACGCTGCTAGTCCTCTGTCAACTTGTTCAAAGTCGCCATTTTGATTTCGTCTAACCGAAATTGGCCCTCTGTATAAAAAGCAGCTACAGGCTTGAAAAGAGTCAGTTGTTATTATTATTATTATTATTTTATTTTAAAGAAAAAGCGGTTATCTTAAGAAAGCAAATCCAACCTTCTCTGTTGAGGTTTTCGACGTTTTTAACTGCGTTAAATGTGGTCTTCATCTTTGGAGTTAGTTCCGTTGTCATGGTGACTGCGCAGGTGCAGTGAAATTTTACTGTCTGGAGGAAGTCAAGAGAAGTGGTTTTGAGGTACCTTAATGGAGTATTTTGAGTTTATAAGTAAGAATATGCTTCTTTTTTTTCTTTTACTTTTCTTTTTTTTTACTGTTTACATGAGAGTCAAAAATAGATACTTGTTTTGTAAAATGTTAAAGTGTAAGAGGAGGGCGTTTGAGGGAGGGATAGGAAGGCCCCCCATGAACATAAATGACTTTCGGGACTCCAGCCAAGATATCAGATAAATAATGTCAACCATCATCTGATACAGTCACACTATAGCTAACCAGCAGTTAAAAGTGTATCATTATATATCTGAAATGCTAACAAGCTGACTTTAAGCTAAGCTCACAAAGCTATGCTATATTAGCTTGCTGTCGCGCTAGCTTCCTAGCTTGAGTTCTGAACGGAACCCATAGAAAATAGCCTTAACATACCGAAGCCTTGGATTCCGACTCCGGCATGACATTTTATGTTACAAATAAGGATGACAGCATATTGCGACTTGTATGTGATCTGCTGTGTGAACTTCATACGACCCAAAAGCGTCCCGCATGCGCAGAAGAGGACACGACGACGTCACACGCAGCGAGCGTGCTCAGTGTTTACGGAAGTAAACACGGATGATGGCGGCGGCGGCGGCGATGGTGCTAACTGAACTAGCATCAGCAGCCAAGTACTGCCTGTGCGTTCCGGCCACTTCCACCCCGCCAGAGTGCTCCCCCGAGGTGGAAGTGGTTCCCCAGATCGTGGGACATTCATCATTAATTGGGCCTGAATACCCAGAGACCAGAAAGTGCTATTCGGACCAGCCCTACTAGTTATTATAACAACTATGGACAATAAATATTAACAACAAATGACCCTTCAAGCCCTCCTTGTGTCTCGACCTCTGTCTTGACAATCTTGCTAACCAACATAAAAGAAGGTTTTGCATTTAGTCTCGGATTATCGAGTCACGACTGTATAAATGATGAAAGTTATTGTAAAATTCTATTTTTTGTTTTTTGCTGATCAATTATAAAAATAATTGATAATAAACCATTTTAAAGAAAATCAGAAATTTTGTATGTGTCAAACATTTATGTTGCAGGTAAAGTAAGAGCAGCATCAAAATTGGACAACAACGTCAAAATGATGTAAAAGTAACAAGTTTGTATTTGATATAAAATGACTTGTGAGGTAAACTTCCCCCTTCCCTGTGAGGCGTCTTCATCAGTTCGCTTTTCATGATTTTACATTTAGTTTTACAATAACAAAGCTGTAGTCTGTCATGATTTATTGGCAGAATACTTCCTGGTTACATATTACACTGTAATATATATAAAACAATTTTTTCATTAAAGAAAATATACAATGCACTTAAGGGGGTTGTCTTACCCTGGTTTATCCTACAGTAGGATGATCAAGCTACTGCCACTTGCGGGAACTTTTTGCTCAAATCCTATTTTCCATGACCAAGACAGAAGTTTAACTCACTCAAAGGAAACAAATGTTGAGAATATCATATTAGCATATCACAGGCCAACATGTTTGACAGACACAGGAAAATAAATAGCAGCAAATTGTGTGATGAGTTAAACCTCAGTGGAATTTTCCATATTCAGATTTAGTCTTGTTTCTTTTTACCATAAGCTCTGCCACTATTAAGAGTTGCCAATATGTTCCCACAGCACCTGAAGGCAACATGCTTGCAGAGCGATTAAACAGAGCCAACGCAGGAGGTACGTAAGACGTGATGACGTGGGGAGCCGGTTTAATAACATGATGTGCTGGGTGTCATGGTTTACATACATGTACTGTGTGTATTTACATACCGCTGGGGAGGAAGATAAAGGCTGCCAATCTCATTTTAACGTCAATGAGTTTTACTTCAACGAATTATTCATTCATGTATTTAGCTGTATCAATTACTTTTCATTAAGCAGCATAAATTACCTCATAATAGCTCATAATATGACGATATTAACATTCATAATGTCCTAATGCACATGGTGGTGAAACCTAATGAGCAAATAAAGGTTAAAGGGTTTACTTCAGTTCGCAGGTCGTAGCAGGTGCAGTGAAATGATGCCTATTTGAAGATGTATGAATACACACCAAATTAACAAACATCTATCATTTCTTTCCATTGTGTTCTGTTCTCCATTCTGTCTAGCACAGCCATTTATTCTCTCCCAACCCACAGGCCGAATGGTAAATGGCAGCTGGGGACTGACCCGACCTATTTGCTTGCTTTGACGTGAAAGACCAAACAAAGGTTCTAATTTCAGTTTCACAAAAACCTTTAGCTGCTCAGTACCGGTTAAAAGTAGCTCTTTCTGAAACGAGTAGCACACACGCATTTAAAAGTAAAGCGTCTCACCCTGAGTGAACTATATCTATTAACACCAATCGGTAGAATAAATTTAGTAAAAAATGACACTTACCACGTGGGAAATCTTTAATCATTAATGTGAAGGCAGTTGAGAAGAATATTATCTGTCATATAATTACTAGAAATTAGTTACTCTGTAAAATGATGAATCATTTCTATTTATGAGGTCGTTTAGTCATTGCTCTCGTCAGTATTACGACTGCCATTAATAATGTAATAACGCTAATTGTAATCTGTCTCGTCATTGCCTTGCTCTGCGGTACCCGTTCCCATCTGGCACATAATAGTTTAAGATCTTTCTTCTCTTGACAAAAATAGTCACAGAACTGTGACATTTGTTTTATGAACTAACACTCATCTCCCTGTAGCACAAGGACATCGGCTTTATGTTATCTGCTTTTTTGACACAATGGATCCTCAACAGATCTTCCCTGCATATTCAATTGGAAGTACAGATATAGTATAGAAAGGATTTGTATTGCTGTTGCTTCAGAAAAATGTTGTCTTACTCACGTAGCAGTAGTTTTACAATTACATTTCATTAGCATCCTGTGTACTCCTGTATTGAACTGCACTCAAGTTGCATTTTTCATTATTTCACATATTTTAGTACTTTAAAAGAGAAATATTTAAATATGTAGTTATATATCTGAGTTGCCATGAACCAGTTAAAAAGGTCATGAAGTAAGAAATAAATTTCACTGGGATTCCTCTGGATAATGATTAGAAAAGACCAATTACAGGCACAGCAGCAGTCACATCCTTTTCAAAGGCGATTTAAAAAAAAAAAAAATTTCCTTATCGCATAAGTGATTCCTTAAAAGGTTCCTAACAAGCCATAGCTGCCACTGAGGATGAAAATGTAAAGCAACATGTCAAATACAGAGATTAAATAGGGCAGGACATGGAAATCACGATGTTGAATTTATTGACAAGACCGCCTCAGCTCACATCTCAGAAAATCAACACAGAGAAGATGTCATGCATCTCTTTTGGCACTTTTTGAGCTTAAGTCATCGACCAAAAAAACACCTTAGAAATGAAAATGAACAAAATAAAATAAAATAAAAAGGAATCCTGTTTGTTGCCCGTGGTCCTTTCATCTGTATGAACAGTAATGTACAGAGTCCTGAGGTATACGGGTGGGCAAACACAAAGGCTAAACAAAAAAAACAAAGTATGTTGGATTAAGACTTTAAATTAGCTCAGCAGCATTATTTAACGGTCCACTGTACAGAAATAAAACATGATCTGGTGTGAGTTTTTCCCCCACACAAACATCAGCTCAATACACCACAAAAGTCCAAAATCATTAGTGATAATAAAGTGAATAAAACATAACTTATTTAAGAACTATGCTTGGTTCTGAACTGCTGCGTGAAGACGTAACTGGAAATGGTTGCGTCTGTGTGGAGTGTGTGACGTTTAAATCCTGAAAAAAAAAACAAATCTGGATGCAACAAGCATTGAGGAAAGAGCTCAACCATACTTTGGAAACGATTCAACTGATGTTTCCAGTTCATGCAAAAACCTTCCCACACTCCATCAACCCTAGTGATCCCAAAGTCTAACATTTTGTTCTGTTTTAATACTAACCACGTAAAATGCTCCGTAGATTGAATGTGGACATAAACATTGCATCATTCCACAGTGCAAATGTGACACTGAATGACTGCAGGCAATTCAAACTGTTACTGCAACACACACACAAACAAATGTAAAAACAGGCTGAATGGTCGTCTCATATACCAGTGTTTCAAAGTGCATAGCAGTCGGAACCGCAGACCAACCTGTGGCGCTGCACCTGGAACTACCCAGAACCAGAGTTATCTGTCGACTTCAAGTTGCAAGAAAATCAGCTTGGAGAACTTTTTCAATGTTTACAAGAAGACAATATTAACCTCTCTGTTATTTATGGGTTGGAAAAGTAGCCAAATAATTCAAACTGAACTTCAGGAGATTAAAGGTGGTCCATCCTCCTGTGTTTCGTCTGATAGCAGTGATGTTCTAACTGAGATGCCTTCTTGGGTACTATAGATATTTACACACCTTGCACGCACGCACACACACACACACACACTCACTCACTCACTCACATGCTCACATCATAGCAAAAAAAGGCAATGCAGAACACACACACACACACACACACACAAATGTTTCTTCAAATGGGTCAAACTTGCAAACTGCATTCACTCTTGAAATTCCCTGAAGTTTCTTACTATTATGAAATAAAATAAACCTTCCAAATTAGCCCCAGTTCGTCTCCTTCATCCGCTTATATTACTGAGAAGTTAGGGTAGCTTACGCCACCTACTGGCCAGGTAATGTTCCACTCACCGTTGCGGAGCACCTAAAGAGTACTTGTTGAAGTAAAAGGTGCAATCTCGATTAAAAACATATTGCATAAAAATGTAGCTGAGCACATTTTTTTGTTGCCTTAATCTACGTGTTTCTCGAGGATGAGGTCTTTAAATTCTACTCCATTATCTACGTCGTCATCACCACGAACACCTTCTATGTGCCTACAACAGCAACACTACAGGCTAGGTTTAGGTTTAGGTTTAGATTTAGGCTGCAACAGCCAATTCTTGTTAACCAACAGCTTTTGACTACCTAGTTTAGTCTCATGAGATCATAAACTCCTTCATTTCCTGCACCACACAGAACAGAGTTTCTACGTTGACTGTCGGAGAACTATGGAGCCATCTGAAGGTGTCAAAGTCAAGGTGAGATGTGGGTGGGGCTGTCATGCTCCTTGACTGTCCTCCATCAGTTGTAAACATGCAGGATGTGTCAGTTAGGGCTCCATGTGCTGTAGGGCAGTGAGGGGCTCTGAGGCACAAGCCATTCAGAAAGAGTCAGTGTTCGGAAACTTGGCTGCTTCAGGATCAAGGATTTGTGTCTGGTCCACTGTTAGAGTTTGAGGCTGCAGATGAATCTGCTGAACATGGTTCAGTTCTGTCATCTTCTGTTGCTTTAGTGCAGAAATGATGCTGCTGCTGTGATTGTCGATTTCCTCTGAGCTCTTCTTCCACCGCTTCCTTAAGAAGCACCTCATCGTTCTCTAAGACGAGCTCCAGGGTGGGGCCTCCAGCTGCTCCGTCCTCCAGCTCCCCTTCCTCTGCCAGGCGGAGTTTTATGTTCATGCTGACAGGTTTTTCTGCCTTATCTGGACAAAGAGGACAGACAATGAAATGCATAAACAAGAGGAGAACAGAGCAAAGACACATCTCAGATTTGACATTTGATATAATTTTGCAGTTGCTGCAGTTAACCTTCTAAAACCTTCTGGGTTATTTTGGATGCTGAAACTAAGCGATGAGACACATTATCTACTCAAGCTGTCACAATACCAAATAAAATGAGGTAATTCTCTGCCTTGAGCAGATCAGGACCCAACGAACCATAGATCAAAACAGCAGGAAAAATAATAGTACCAACAGTTCTGACAAAACTAAAAAGTAAAATATTGTTGCACTGATCGTCAGTCACTACAAATTATTTTATGTAACATGTCACTGAGACCATGACACACAAAATGCCCTATATTTTGTTGGCATTTTTCATGAGAGGAGGACAGAAAAATACAGATTTAATCTTCAAAGACAAACAAGGTTGGTGCCAGGACCAGGAAGCATCAGGTCAATCCAGACTGATCCATTGTCTTTCTAACTTTGTAGAGTGGCTGGTAAGTAATAGCTGACTATGTAAAGGATCGATTTGGTGATATTCTGTTTCTTTCTTACTGTCAAGAAAGAATAACCGACTAAAATGTGTTGCCTCAGCAGCAGCCAGACTCTTTTTTCCCTATATGTCGCAGACCTCTATTGTTGTCCAAAAACTAATAAAAGAACATCAGTGAGTCACGGCCCTGCATGAGGTCCCAGATTTCTTCATTTCAGCGCACATGGGTTTATCTCGGGTCAGTTCTACATACACTGAAGCTGCCTTTATTACTCACTAGTGCATGAATTGTGAAAACAGTCACTTGTTCTTTTTTAAAAGCTACAGTGCCAGTTTTTTTAGATTATTATTTAGGTTTTTTTTGGAAAAACTATAACTACAAGATCCCATAAAATGTACATCTTCAGCTGAACTAAATGGGCTGAGCACTGAGTTCTCAGACACTGTGGAAGTTGGACAGAAAGCCTGATAATATTGTTGGTTTAAGTCTTTTCATTGAGCTTTTTAACAACAATAAAAATATATAATATCGCCAGCTCCCGGTGCTCACCGTGCCCAAGCTGCCTCTCCTTAGGCAGCAGTAGCACATCCACATTGCGATGCTTCTCCAGGGCACCTGTGAGCACGGCGCCCTCGCGGCTGAACAGGAACACCAAAGGCAGAGTGATGTCTTCAGTGGAGTCACCATCTCCAACCATCTGGAAGAGGGGAGTTTCCTCACTATTACTCCCCTCACGGTGATCTGAGAAACAAGGGGTAAGTGGAAAAATGTTATTTCTGCGAGGTCCAGAATTCAGTGTTTGACAGTTATTCTAAATTTTGTGTATCTAACCATGAGAAGAACAAAAATGCTGATTCACTTGACATGGTGATGACACTCACCTATAAAGACGACTCCGATAGCTCCTGCCTCCTGAAGCCAACGAGCCTTTGCAGCAAACATGCAGTCACCACGCAGCGCCAGTGCGATGTGGCCTTTAAGCTCCGCTGCATTATCTATTGGCCCACATGCTGTGTATGGGGAAGCTTTGACGATGCTGCCCTTCACCTGCGGCACAGGAATATGTTGTTATGCTTGTGTTTGAGAGGGGAGTGTGAAGATACAGTGTGCTTCCCACAAATGAGACACAGAGATGAAAAAGTGCAGTAGTTCATTCATTTTTGTAAAAAAGAAAAAAAAAAGCTGAGTTCAGGAGAACTCCAGAACTTAGTGTTAATCAGTTGGTCAGTTTTGCTTTTGTTCTTGTTGAAATGTTGTTGTTTTTTAATGAAAGCTACACAAGCTTTAATGTTGACTCTACAGATTGGATTATTATCTCACCCCGTGCTCCTGCTTTGTGAGGTCCATTCCAAACTTGGCAGGTCCCGCAGTGAGGACTGTCCTCCCCAGAAACGGAGGAGATATGAGCTGGACAACATGAGGCACCACCACCTCCTCCTCTGGCACCTGGCTTACTTCTGCTACAAGTTTTACTCGGTACACTCCTTTATGCTCCTGCAGGGATGAAAGTGTAGAAAACAGATTGAAAGCAACAATCGGTTGTTTACTGAATTTCCTTATCTCCTAATAAAGTCAAGTTTAACCCACATTGCATGCATTTTTTTCATTTAAAGGAGTAACTCTTTTGCCTTGGCTGCCTTTTTATTTGAGTAAACTTTACTCTCAATTCAATTCAAATTGAAAAAAGTGAAATTGGTAATCCATTTGCTGCATTTGACACATTTCCCGTCTCGCCTCGCTGTTGAAAATCTCATAATAGTAGAGGGTCCATGTTCACTGCTTAAGCAAACACAAAAAAATCTATACGTATAACAAGACAATAAGGAAATTTGTTTTTAAAACCTACCACTTGATTAAAGCCGCTAATCGTTTTCTAAATCCATACTGCCCAAAGCAATGTTATTTGTGCAATATTAAGAATGTAATTGGCTCGACAGCGGGATGTATAATTACCCTGTTACAGAATTGCACGGTTCCACAGCGAATAATTGCTTTGTCCTCCCTCCAGGTATCTCTGGCTCCAGAACAACAGGTTTTTGATTTACAGTTAAAGCCTCTAACATCCTGCCCAGTGTCTATTGTTCTCTTGTTTGTTGTCTGTCTGTTTCTCGCCTTTTCGATCTCTGCTCTCCCCCGACCACAACCAGTCGATGCAGATAAAGGGGAGGTTTCTGACCCAGACTACTACAAGCCAACCTTTCTGACCTAATCACGCTCAGCTCAGCAGAGACAGGCATTTCAAAAAATAACTGTAAAAATCCTGTTCAGTTGGAAAGCTGAAGGAGACTCACACTGCTTACACGAACATATGTTGTGTTGCGCAATTAGTCATTTGCATGAATCTGTACAACGTAGGTGACGTGTGACACACTGGTGCAACCCATTGAGCCGTTACAGCCATATTTACGGGAAATACTAAACATTGAAATAAGCTATAATTATACCTTTAACGAGAACCTCTTTGCTGCACTGACTCAACGCTACAGGAGTGTTTCCAGTAAAAGAGCACTGTGCTGGGGCCTAATGCAAACCATTTATTGTCATTATTCAGGCTATGGTTTTGGAGATCTATGAACAGAGAGAAAACTAAATACATGAAAAGAAAAGCCCTAGCAAGACAATGACATCCTCTGGGGGTCTGAACTGAAGTGAGTAACCAACATACCTTCAGAATTCCAGTGTCTCCTGCAGTGACTTCATTCAGCGGGGTAAGAGAAATGCCCATGCTTTTCAAGAACTCCACTGGCTCCATGCCGTTATCGTGAAGCGGTAGCTCGATTTCCCTGTAAAGTACAAACACACTCAAGTTAAAACTCAAAATGACTACAGCTGTACTCAAAGTCAAATGCTCGCTTGCTCACCTGACGGGCAGAGGGTGGAAAGCTCGTCCCACCCCAGTGAGGTACTTGTAGCTGTCCCGGATGGTTTTGGCAAATGACGGGTTGTTGGGAAACAACGTCTCTGTGCTGGGACAGGAGTGTGTAAACAGATCTTCTTCTTGAGAGACAGGAACAGTCTCCTGGAGCAGAGGAAGCATAAGTAAATACCTGCTGTACTGACTGTCATAATAAGAAGTAATTCACACATTAAAAGTGTCACTTCTCAAGATGCAGCACTGGCATAGAAATCTAATAAAATCTGTGTGTGTCAGTGTCAGTTTCTCCCATTCTTAAAATACAACACACAATAATACACTGTATAATTGATGGAAATGAATAATAATCAACAATCACTAAAGGGTATCATTAACTTCACTGTCCAATAAAATGAACCCCTTTGTAGTATTTGTGAAATATATACCAGCATGTATGAATGAACTATGGAAATATAATGTCTGCACCTGTGTTACTGATAAAGTTTTTACCGTATTGTTGCCGTGACAGGGTGGCTGAGTGGTGGAGAGAGAGACGGGAAGAAGGTGAGCCTCTGTGGTGAAGATGTAGTCGTCGATATTAATTGGCAGCTGGCTCTTCTCCGAAAACAGCAGGTACAGGTATTTAAACATCTCTGCCAGAAAGAACGAGTCCATCCTGTACACACCCAAATGAACAGACACGCATGTACGCTTAAGATTTTAATCACTCGATCACATGGGATGTGTTGAGGCTCATTAAAACGCTGTTAAAGCACATGTGAACAGATGTCATCTGTGGTAACTTGGCTGCTTAGACACGTTCGGAACAGTTTTGTGTCACACATTACCTGTCTTCATGCGTCCCGGTGCGGACATCCTGCACAGCAGCAAACCCACAAGGCACCCTGGCGTAGGCGTTGAGCTTTTCCACTATGGATTGTCCCACTCTGAGGTAGTACGGGTCGCCAGTGGCCTGCAGAGATTAAAATAAAGTCGTGACCAAACATCTTCCAAGGTAGAATGCTTTATATACTGTAGCACAGGAGTGGAGTAGTTTCATTAATGAGCCAACTTGTAGCAGCAGAACTTTTGGAACCTGCTTTTAAAGAAGACCATTGTATTTTATTTCAGTCAGTGACACTGTCCGGTCAGGTTTATCACCTTATAGAGGTAGTAGGTGCTTTCTGCAAATTCTGGTCTCAGTAGGTGTTGGCCCCAATGAACTCTGAACTCTGTGGTGAAAGCCTTCAGGGAGATTCACAAAGAAAAAGAACACGTTTCATCAAGAAAGAGACACATTTTCAAGAACTGTTTCTCAACTTTTGACTTTTTTCCTACTAAAATATACATCACTGCAAAGCACCATAACATTAAACATCCGTACATACATATAGAACAATATAAAACCAATTTAACTCTAAAATGTTGTCCTTGCCGCCCATCTCAGTGAGTATTATAAAAACTTCCTACAGCATCAAATAGACCTTACCTCTGGAAGAAACTTGTGTTGTTTGGTGACTTGGTAAAGCATCTCATGAGTCTCAATGGCTGGTTTCAGATCTCCTCTCAAAACCTACGGCAACAATAAATAAATGTTATCCTAGAAACACGTGCAGGGATTTCTGTGCCCGCTACGAGACACAACCACAGACCTGTAAGCCAGGGAAGAATGCTAGGAGAGAGTCCATCCAGCTCCGCACACTCACAGTGGGGTTGTGCATGTGTACATTGAGCAGCAAGGGAGGCTGACTGATGTACTTCATAATGGCACTGTAGTGCTGTTGCAGACAAACACAAAGAAAAACACATTAGCAATCAACTCAGACAACCACACTATGAACAAAACGACCAGGTGTGGGCCAGCGATGTTGCAACAGGGAGCACAATACAGATGGAGCCAAATGCAAGGGTATATTTATAGACTTACAACGTTGAACCTCTCCAGAAAAACATTGTCGCCCAGAAGAATGTAAGCCTTCATCAGATACTCGTAGTATGAGTCGATACCGGCACCAACTCCACTGTCTGCAATCACAGAAGAGAGAAGACTGTCAAATCACTATAATACATTTTAATTATCACTGTTTGTGTGAGAACACGCCTGGTTCCAGGGTTCATCCCTTGCCTTTAGCAAGGTTTCATGGTTACACAACGGTGTTTGTGTTAAAATTGCCTCACCCCTCCGGACCCATTCTCCATTATGGATATTGATGACAGTCCCCACTAAGTCACTTCCTCTCTGTCTCCTCTCCCAGAGGACATCCAGAGCCTTCCTCGCATGTTCCTGTAACACAATAAGAAGTACATCCTTATAATGTCTTTGGTAAAAACATTACTACACCATTCATTTATGACTTCGTCTTTCTACATCTGAGAAAAATGTTCTGAAATAATGTATACACATATGTGGCATTTAAAAAGAAAAAAACAGAGGCAGAGGATGATAATACCTCAAACACAGACTCTCCTGACAGTCTGCTGAGGGCAGCAAACTCCAGGATCATCGTTCCTGCACATGCTGTGCAGGTGTCTGATTCAGTGCCAGTTCGTGAGAGTGGGTTCAGGACACCATACCGCAGATTCACCTGGTGAAGCAAAAAAGGAAAAAACATGCCACTTGACTCAGCTTAAAATTATTTTAGTTTCTTAGCAAAATCAGACATATGCTTACTGTTAGTTATTCCTATTTGTGGTTTTGTCAATTTGCATACATTTAAAATTAAATCTAAGATTGTTAACAATAAAAAAAGTAACACCTTAGGGTAGGGAAGGCCACTTGTGGTGTTAAAGGCAGGGAGTAATCGATGGCCCAGCTCTTTGGCCATGTGTAGCAGCTCATCGCGGTACCACTGCATCCTGTCTCCACGCTGCCGTAGCAGGTCAGCCATCACATGACCCCCTAAAAGCCCACTGGGGAGAATAAAATACAAAATTAAGAGAGATTTGGAATATGTTTATTTTCAAAAGAATGATCCAAAGCATTCCACTTCAGTCACATATTTTTATAAAGACAAAACTAAAGTAAATCTCTGACATGTTTCATACCCTAAAACTCTGATGTTGGTCTCAAACACTGAAACCACCACATCGTTGTCCAGGCGTACATCCTTAACAGCCTTCCTCACTGCGTCCTCAAACTCATCGAGCTTGTTCAGCACCTGCGTACACACGGGAATAAAAGAATCAAAAGGAGGAAATGCCCAAAGATAAAAGCCTAGTGAAGAAAAAGGGCTCAAAAACAGAAGCAAAGCAAAACATTTTCATGCTTGGAAGCTGAGGAAAAGCAAGCACTCACCACCAGGGTATCAAGAGTGTCAATCAGGGTGAGAGAAAACCTACACAAAAGGTGGAACAAATGTTATGATATAGGAGCTGGCAGGACGCAGTGGACTTAATGTCCTACTTTTTCACTGATCCAGTTATATTTAAAATGAACCGCAGAGGGTTCAATGTCAAATCTGCTGACATTGCTGCAAAATTACATTATGCAATAAGTAAATAAATGGATCTATTGAACTGCAAGTCCAGAATTTATTGCTTTTACGTAGATTTTATTGATTTAAAAGGGCATCTAATTCATGTAAAAACTAGTCCATGTCCAATTAAATCTGTTTGGAAGAGCACAGCAAGAAATCACATCTAAGAACCTGTCTTCTTGTTCTAAGAACCTAGCTTGTTCATTTGAGGCAATTCAACAGTTGTGCCTTTATAAAAGTCACTTGATCTTCATAAGCGTTAAATGTCAATGCTTGATGAACGTACTTCCCCAAAGAGTCATCTATGTCCCCTCTGTTGGGCTCCTGTCCTCGAACTCTCCCTCTGCAGCTCAGAGGCATCAGCTCGTCTGCTGGATAGGCATATTTCTGCAACAGAAACAACTGTTATTGTCTTCAAGCTTTATTTAACAGTCTACAGAAAATCGCTGGCGATCAAAAGCTTACGCGACTCCTGCATCAGTAGAGGAACAGTTGTGTTTCTCACTAACCACACTCCCCAAAGTTTTCCTGCTAAATCCTTAAGCGATCCCACACTTATATTTAAGAAATACTTGACATTTGAACAAAGGGATGCTCTTGGTTAAATTCTTTCTAATAATAACCTTGCCTCTTCATCTTCCATGCACATCCAACAATCAACACCTTGAGCTAAAAATGATCTTTGTCAACAGTGTTTTCACCTGCTGTATCATGTCTTACCAACATCACCAGTGTCTTCTTACTAACGTTTGTCCTGTCTCCTACACTGCCCCTGTTAAGTCCTTAACTAACACAGACGCAGCTTACACGTAGAACTCTGAATCCTTGATGATCCAACTCTCTAATTGCCGTTGCCAAACCCAGAAGGTAGTAGCTGTCTCCTCGAACAACCCTTTTCTTCATCTCTACACTAGATCTCTTGGCTCTTTTTTTTCCTGTACTGTCACCACAAATATCAAACTCCATCACCTGAGTAAAATCCTGTCTCCTACTTGGAAGACATATAACAACATCCAGAGTTAGTAGTGTCAAGACCACAATACACTGGTCAAGAAAGAGTGTTTGACTCCATCTGCAACCCAATCCGGCATATTTGCTTTCGGTACACATAAGATCCTTCAATCCAGTCAGCCACTGATTCAACTCTCCTCTGGATGATGTGCCATACACATAATTATAGTGGTTATAACAATTATTACATCAGAGAGTAGATCTTACCATGTAGCTGCCGTAAGCGTGGTCAAACATTTCAATAATCTGGTGCCTGCAAAAAGATAAAAATAGAGGAAAAATACAACTTAATCAAATGCAAACACTGGAATACATTCCCAATATTGCAGATGCTCTCACACTCCATCATTCACAAATGCAAACAAACAGTCTTTATATGTCTAACTACACAGTCCTCACCTGATAACAGTCATCTCCTCCTCTGTCATACTCTGGCTCTCTTGACATTTCGCCCAGCCAAGAAGGCCGGTGATCAGAAGTGTCTTCAGTATCATCCCTGTGGCAGAAGAGGGGCCCAAACTCCGGCAAAGTTTACCTCCAGATCTCCTCATGTAGTCTTGCAAAGCTTCAACAGCAAACCCCTGTTCTGTGTCCAACGCCCACAAGAAGTCAGACAGTCCAGCAGACACAGCTGTCCTCCTGCAGAGCCCAGGTCGTCTTCATTTTTTTGGTAGAGAAACGGCTAGCTGCCCCCTAATTCCATGTCCATGCCTCCACCCTGGTTGTTGTGTAGCGGACCCGGTGTTGTTACGACCACCACATGTCCACAGAGGACTCCAGGTGACCCCTGTCCATGTAAACAATAGAGGCGGTGAGCTACAGCTGAGCTACTGACTGTTAGCTTACTTCTAACAACAGACAAGATGTACCACGAAACACTGGCTAACTGAGGAAAGTCCAAACAAGAGTAACAGCACAGTGCATGTTGAATGAAAGGAAAGATAAAGAAATTATCAGTAGTTACCGGTCAGGCAGTGTGGCTAACCCTCGCTAGCCACCACAGTGCTGGGAGGGTCTCTGAAGCTAGCCCGCTACTAAGTTGCTAGTTCTCCGTCAGCAATGCTAGTTAGTTAGCCAACGAGCTTACTAGCTAAATAAAGGAAGTAAGCTAGGTCACAACATCACTTTGAGCACAAATAAAACAAATGGTCCCCGCGGTTAGTTTACACTCGCCGTGTAAACTGGGTGCCGTACAGTTAAATGGTCGATGACACGTCGCCCGGTGTCGGTACGGCAGCCTGGTGTCGAGTAGAGAGCTGTCAAAGAGCGGACAGGCTTTGTTGCTGCCCGGCTGCGGGGGCTGATAGGGGAAGCGCTGCCCGGAGTTTGTCTGTCAGGCAGCTCTCATGCCACGTATAGGAAGGTGAGTTGTGTCTTTGGTAAGTCCTCCGCTTTCCATCTCCTCCTCCTTGGACTGGCTCTATTTAAAGTTACACAAGGTTTACATTGGCGTTAAGCTAAGGGTTGCAGACTGACAGTTGTGAGGGGTGTGTGGTTGTTTATCCAGGGAGGTGTCCTTGCAGGCAACGCTCAGGGTGAAAGAACTGTCATAGGAGAACATCGTTAGGATGCGTTTGACACCTAAACCCTTTATAGCTAACAGTACTACTAATACTTAATGATTATTACAATTATTTGATTTAATTTGATTCAATATATTTAAAAACAACTTTGTGTGTCACCTGGGGGCAATTTAAGGAATTATTATGTAAAGTGTTATGACATGTATGTATTATTTTGTATGTATTATA